AAACTATAGAGACTATTTGTGTAATTTGTCCTAATAAAAACGTATAGGGATAATAATATATATATATATATATATAAGGCAACTTATATATATATCAGCAAGGCAACTATCAAACCAACTATAGTTCTTGCATGAAAAGTCCAATGAAGAGGCTGCTACTAATTAAACCCCATGTGAATTTCATAAATATTAAAAATTAAAAATCACAATAAAGTTAGAAAAAGTGTAAGAATACACATAAATCGGTTACATAATCTTTGATTGATATATTATAGTTATGGCAATTCAAATAGCTATCTCCTTAGACCTAGTCTTAATTGTTATTGAAATTTGAAATTTAATAGAACGCCGACTTTCCTACACTTGTTAAAAAAACTAATTTTATGACGACAAATCTTCTTTTCCGATTCTCTCACGTCCCCTTTTCTCAATTAATTTTAATAATTCTAAATTTTTAATTACAAGCTCAATTCACCTATTTCGGATGTCAATTCACCTAAATACATGTTGTTTGGAAAATCATTTCTCAAACAGGGACGGAGTTAGAGAGGAGCCAGGAGGTCATGTGCCCCCGGGTTTTGGGCTGCTTTTTTTTTTAAATTAATCTTACTATGAAAATATATAATTTATTAAATTGTTAGTTATATTTGACATATGAGGTTCACTTTTTATGTGTTTCTTTATTATTGGTTAATGATATCACATGTCAATGATAACGTGGTATTATCATTATATTGAATTTTTACTCAAATTTTGTATAATTAGCATTATATAATTTAATTTAAGAATCATAACTTTTTTTGTATTGACCATGATACATTAGTTACAAATAATATTATTTTTTTGATCTTTCTTAAAGTCAATCATAAAAATTTATGTGAAATATTTTTGTAAAAAATTTCAATATTATAATTAATAAGTGCCCCCTCTGATTTAATTTTCTGGCTCCGCCACTATTCTCAAATGTAAGCATTTTTTAACTTATTTCTAAACCCTAATTATTTGAAATTGTGTTTTACTCCTTGTCTCAATTAATTTTAATAATTCTAAATTTTTAGTTACAAGCTCAATTCACCTAAATACATGTTGTTTGGAAAATCATTTCTCAAACAGGGACGGAGTTAGAGAGGAGCCAGGAGGTCATGTGCCCCCGGGTTTTGGGCTGCTTTTTTTTTTAAATTAATCTTATTATAAAGATATATAATTTATTGAATTGTTAGTTACATTTGACATATAAGGTTCACCCTCCATGTGTTTCTTTATTATTGGTTAATGATATCATCACATGTCAATAATAACGTGGTATTATCATTATATTGAATTTTTACTCAAATTTTGTATAATTAGCATTATATAATTTAATTTAAGAATCATAACTTTTTTTGTATTGACCATGATACATTAGTTACAAATAATATTATTTTTTTGATCTTTCTTAAAGTCAATCATAAAAATTTATGTGAAATATTTTTGTAAAAAATTTCAATATTATAATTAATAAGTGCCCCTTCTGATTTAATTTTTTGGCTCCGTCATTGTTCTCAAATGTAAGCATTCTTTAACTTATTTCTAAACCCTAGTTATTTGGAATTGTGTTTTACTCCTTGTCTCAATTAATTTTAATAATTCTAAGTTTTTGGTTACAGGCTCAATTCACCTACTTCAGATGAGTTATTTACTAAATGCATGTTGTTTGAAAAATCATTTCTCAAATGTAAGCATTTTTTAACTTATTTCTAAACCCTAATTATTTGAAATTGTGTTTTACACACGATACTTCAATATTTAATCTCTACTTTAAATATATATATATATATATATATATTAGTCATTTGTCTTTAATCTTACTCAAGTTAGCTTTCACTCAAAGAGTTTCCCCATCTTTTCATGTGGTATCAGTTAAGGCTAAGACATCTTTCTATTCATATTAATTCCAAAGATACAGCTTAATTAATTGTTGGAATCAGATGGCTGAGATCATTTGTTTCTGCTCATTTTAATTAATTATGCATGATTTTTTAATTGTTCCCTTGATCAGACTATTCAGTGATAAGTCTCAACCCAAAAAAAAAATTTATGTGAAAGTACCTCAAGTCAATGTTTTTAAAATCTATTGGCCGGTTTATCCAATTGACTCTAAACCATGTTAAAAACTTTTCCCTGGTTCACTCTAAACCTTTACTTCATACTTAACTAAATTATCTCTAAAGAGTTTATGTACAAAAGGTACAAGTAACTTGAACCATATCATTAATAGTGATTTCTCCTAGAAAACTGTTATATGTCACAATATAATTTAATTTTTATAATTATCTAGAAAGATAATCATGAATATTTACGTAGACAGATAACAATATAAAACAGTGACAAAAAAATCAAGGAAAAATTATACAAATAGTTCATGTACTTTACACGATATATTAATTTGGTCCATGTAATTTCAATTTGCTCGATTTTGCCTCTTAATTTAATGAATTGTGTCATTTTAGTCCAATAAGTAACGGTTGTTAAGTTAATTTAACGAAAAGTCAAATAATGTGTCAATATAGTCCCTGTATTTTTCACAATGTGTCAATTTAGTCCCTGTCAAAATCGAGAAAATTGAAATTATAGGGACTAAATTGACACATTGTGTAAAGTACAGGGATCAAATTGACACATTATTTGACCTTCCGTTAAATTAATTTAACAACCGTTATTTATTGGACTAAAATGACACAATTCATATTAAGGGGCAAAATCGAGCAAATTAAAAATACAGAGACCAAATTAACACATCATGTAAAGTATAGAGACTATTTGCATAATTTACCCAAAAATCAATATATACATTTCTCTTGCTCATAATCAAACGTGCTTTAAATTAGGACCCTTTCTTAATGTGAAAGCTCTAAGAAAAGAAACTACAGTACTCTTAAAGCTCTCAAAGTGTAACTTTTTTTTCCTTTATTGTATAGCATCACAGAATATCATGCTTCAACAGTATTTTCATATAGTTTTTTCCATAAAAGGTACCTTCACTTACTCAACAATGCTAGGTAGTCCAAATTTTCTTTGCTCGAGTGGCTCGAATGTCTCAAAATGACGTTATTTTTGGTGTAAAACAACGTTGTTTTGATACATTTAAACCATTTGAGCCACATAAATTCGAGCCGAAAGTATTTTTCTTACTCTTTGCTTTTCTCTTTGCTCCATCTTCTCAGTACCCAAACACCAAACAAACAAGTATATGAAAGAAAGGACAGTATGGAAATGGATCAAGGAGTAAAAAAGGGTAAAAACAAAAAGAAATAGAGCTATAGATATCAATAAATTGAAACAAAACCAATGAGTATGATTCCAACCAGAGGGATACTGGTGGAGATTGGATTCTATTATTTTTTCTCCGCAGTGAATTGTATAGTTTTTATCACAACAAGACATGTTTATCAGGATCATCAAGTATTCTAATAGAGACTTGGATTCTGTGTCATTCTTTCTATACAATAATCTTATTGTATTTTTTATCACAGTAAGTCATATTAGCAAATGACATAATCTAACGGTCTAAGTTTAAAATTAAAATAAAATTTTTTTTTTTTTTTTTTAAATTTAAACTATACATCTCAAACCGACATTATTTTTATTCAATTTTAAACTAGGACCATAGTAAAATCACCAGGGGAAAAAGAATAGTAAAGTAACTTGATCCAACTAGTAGTAGTAGTGGTATACTTTAGTCGTGGTAGTCATGTGTAGGATAACCACTTGTGGAAGTTGTAACTGACGTATACACAAAAGAAAATGAAAGATACATAAGATGGGGCCGCCACTCCCTTTCTTTGAATGACAAAGACTTTATGCCAAATTCCAACCTCATATACATGCTTAAGTTCACACTCCACACTACTCATCTCCTCTTCTTGTTACACACTTGCACACTCACACTTGCCTCGTGAGTTAACTCTCTTAATCAAACATTAAAAATTACCCATTCCTAACCCATTGCAACTTCTAGACATGCAAATGCACACATGCGTCAAGTGCATGTCAATGTGGATTCTACTTTTACGTTGTGTTTGGTTGAGGAAAATAAGCGAAATATAGGTATGTTTTATTCACATTTCACCTATCTTTTCCATTTCTCTTTCCAAATCCCTATTCAAATTCCTCAACAAAAACACAGCATTAGGTTTTCATGTATGCTAGTTAGTTAGGGTAAATATGAGGTTTGAGAAATTATCATGTGACCCTGAAATACCACGTTAGTGGTGTGCCTACAGTGCAGAATAGTCAACAAAATAAGTCACTATATCACTACGTTAGTGATGTGCCCAACCACCAATAGTGGTGTATTCAAGAAGTCAAGAACTAAAACCTCAGCCCCAAAACAAAAATCCCAAAACCCTAAAATTCGAATAATTCAATCTCAATGGGATCTAGCTTCAACAGGTCCAACGACAGTACAAAATTCGTGGTTTAAGTTTTACACTCAAGATCAAAGGTTGGTTTAATAAAATATTCTCTTATCAAGTATGATGCCTAAATTCAAGTCTTATTTGTTGCTTGATGTAACTCATTACTAATCAATATAACTGATTTTTATTTATTTATTTATTTATTTATTTGGGTCTCAATCTAATGGTTAGGTACCCAAAAATCACATTTTGTGTACCATAGAAAAAAGCTTCAACTCCATCTTCAAGAACAAAAAATATATATATGATAATAGCTGTGAAAAATAATCTTGGACATCCAAAATATTGAGAAATGGAAATGTGCATTGTATCAACAAAAAACTTTGCACCCGAAAAGAAATATATACATATATATATATATATGCAAAAATACTGCATAGTTCACAGATTTCTCAACTAGGCTTCTCTCTGCTACACCATGCACTACTCACTGTGACTTGGAAAAGAAGTTCAATGAAAGCATTGACATTTATCTTCCCTGCCAAGTAGATTTTGACAATAAATATTGGAAGTACAGGAGAAATATCATATCCAAGCAGATGGTGTACACAAAGAATCCAACTCTAATGCATTCAACATGAAGTTATACAACATTCACAATATGTCAATACAAATATCATGTTTATTGGATAGGGGATAAACAAAAACATGGTCAAGTTCTGCAAGAATTTACCACTAACGATCGTCGTCGCACAATCCCAGAGTACACCCACAGCTTTGAATAGCATTGACCTATATATGAAATGTGCAAAGGCTGCAACGCATAGTGCACGGTAGATTGATTGCAAACGAGGATCTGTACTTATACTGGAGTCAAACCAACCACGCCTGCAAATACAGGTTCACCATAAGGACTTAGAAGCAAATTTAAACTTAACTAGGAAATCTCAAAAATTAAACCTATCGATGCAGGTAAGGCATAGATATTGCAGCAAAGATAACATTTAGAATTATGATGAGGGGACTGAAGGATACTTGATTAGTTGGGGTTGCTTTCTCTCACAAACAATAAATAAATAATGGACTTCTTGCCTTGGAGAACATTGCTTCAAAGAATATTTGCATTTTTTCACTATGTCGAACATTGAATTGTTAGGCAAGTGATTGTGGAGATTTCTCGTTAAGCATGAGTCTTTATGGCATGTTGACAATAAGAGTAAGTATGGGATTCAAGCCAATGGATGCGATTATCATATGGCCATTCAGGGGAATTCTCAACCTTTGTGGAAATCCATATTACATGGTAATACATTTGGTTTAAGTTGTTCACACGCCAAGAGTGCCATTAGCAACTAAAGATTCTTGTCACTAAACTAATATAAAGCAGTATATCCCACATTTCCCCAGATTTTCCCCATTTTCATATTCTCAAAAATTGCCAAATGCTATAAAAATAAAAATAAAAATAAAAACTGGTGGGTTAAAATCCACACATGCAAATCTTTATGCCACTAGCTACTCGAGCGTTGAAAGTCAAAACATTCTTCCCCAAAACTTTCTGAAACTATGTCCATATGTCATACAATGTCAACCAAATAAAATGCCACTACCATTGGATAATAACGGATGAAAGATATATCCTAGGACTTCGAAAAACTTGCAATCATATAACAATCTTTCTTACTCTAGATCCAGTCAATCAATCCAGCTCATCAAAAGAACATAAATCCATGATAATGCAACGCATACAAATAATGACCATCTTGTCATTGTAGTCCTACTCTCTGTTATCGGAATTTTACGAATCGCGATTCAATTCACGATTCGATTCACAATTTTTGCAAAAATCGATAGAATCTATGGGTGAATCTATTTTAGAAGTGAATCTCTAGTAAATCGCACGATTCACAATTGATTCACGATTCGATTTACTTTTTACGATTCCTGCAATTTTTGAAATTATTGTGTCCAATATATTTTCGACTCTTTTTTTCTCCATCTTTTTAGTGAAAATGACAGAATATAACTTCTAATAGTATTTTAATACCAAAATAACCAACATATATATATGATTTGTTGTTATTTTAGTGATCATGGAGTTTTTAATAGGATTCAATCAGATTCAATCACACCCAACATATTTTTAACCTTTCTTCTCATTTGTTTTTTCCTTTTAAAAAATCATAATATATCTTCTAAAGACGTTTAAGATTAAAGTTACACTATAAATTATCTATTGCTATTTTATTAAATTGAATATAATTGAATATTACATGTGTGAGGTGAGTTATACTTTTTAAATTGTTTTAGGCTTTAAAATAAAAGATTCTAAATAATTTTTCTTTTTATTTGCTCACTGTTACTTAGAAAAGTATATATGTTTATTGTCCAAATATCAATATTGTTATTAATTATTATTACTTTGGAAATTGATAGTTTGTCTATTTGGTTATTATCTTTATTAAGAATGGTTAATAAGAAATATCTAAAAAAGAAAAAATATAAGATGGTGATTTTACATAGGAACCTTTGTTAACTTCTTACCTATTAAACTATGTGATTATTATTCAAAATAACATTTTCATTGATTTAAGTCTAAATATTTCATATTTATGAGATATATTTAACATCTAAATGTGTAGATATATATTTTTAAGTAATTTAGAAAAAGTGACCGAATCTTTACAATTCATGATTCGATTCAATTCGATTTGTGATTCGGTACAAGGCCATTTCGATTTACGATACGAATCCCAATTTGACAACTATGGCCCTACTCATAAAATCCTCTAGATAACTGCTATACTATAAGCTTATTCTTTGCCAATTATGTAAGTCAGTTGTGTCTCCAATAGTTTTTCAGCGCTAGTCTTGATTACCAAGTTATCAGTTTTTCCTTTCTTTTTCCATTTTTTTTTCATTTCCATTTCAACAGATGACAAATTAAACCCTCAACCCCTCTACCTTAAATGTCATACCAGCACTTTTCTCACCATGCTACAATGGCTCTGGTACAATCCATTGGTTTACTTACAGCCAGGATACTTAAAACAAAATAAATAGAAAAGGTGATTACTCTCGAAGCGGGCCAACACAAGAAACAACAAAGAAACAAACTTGGGACACAATGAAGTTAGTATAATTGCATACCACATGCCAACCGTCCACCTGCATTGCCGGTGGTAAGGCTAAGTTCCTGACCACCTACAAATGGATAATTTAAAGAGATTTAGAATGTACGAATACCAATAATAATGTACAGATGAAGAAAACATTTTTTTATGCATTTTCATAAATCTGAACTTTTCTGGCCAACAAAAAGAAGTTCAATGACCACAACAGATGAAAATTGCAACTGAATTACAAACTAATAAACATGAACTGTTACCCTTTCCAAGATCATCCTCGAGCTCATGAACCACTAAAGCCCTGCCAATGACTGCATTAGGTCCACTAAGTGGTATCTGCACATCTCAGCCAACGAAATTTAGTATCGATGGTCAAGTAGCCAAATCCAAAAGAAATACTATTAAATGCGTAAACACAAAATCACACACAACACAAGCCATACTTGGCCATCCACAATTTTTGCCTCTGCCACCCCTAAATTATACAAAGCAACAAAAAAATTTAAGAAATGTCATGTCACCAAATGATTCAAACAATTTTCAAGGAGTTATTGAAACTGTAATTACCATCGGCGTTAGCAATTATGTTTCCCAGGTCACCCGCATGACGGATTTCATCCTTTGGAGCACCATGTGTCTTTTTATAAGGATTAAAATGTGCTCCTATTACATATAAAAACAAAATCACAATAATACCTAAACAACAATAGAATTAAATTATTGTTAATCAAAAAACAGTAACAACCAACACTTCAACTGGTTCAAGCTTCAAAGATGATCTTAACCTGTTGATATACACCCATTTGTTGTATCTCCATACTCGTGCTACACAACATGAAAAGAAGAAATGCAAATCGGTTTCACAGAGCTTTCATGACAATTAAAACTGTATTAAACTATGTTGGAAATAAAATGCTATACAACTCAAAAATTTTGGAAGAGAAAATCTATTCACTCATTTTCCAAATAGCTAAATTACAAAGCCATATATATAAAGTTTAAAAAATAAATCTTCACATTCTAATATTAAGACTATTCATCACAACGTTAAGACTTATTCTCTTATATAACCACAAAATCATTAACATACCTATGAATCCTACTACATTTTCTTAATACTTGCAACAATATCACCCCACTAATCAACATTACATGCACAAACTAAACATAGGAAAAATACAAAACCCAAATTACAAAATATAGGAATACTAAAAAAACCCAAATTAGTAATGAAGAATTTGAAATGATACTACTACTCACTAGATGGAAGCCATGAGGTCCTGGAGCGAGTCCCGTAACGCGAACATTCACAGTGGTTGGGCCTGTGAAAATCAAATACCCAATTTCACAACAACTCAATTGCATTTATAGATAGGAATTAGAGATGTGAAGGGCCTAAAAAGAGAAATGACCACCGTCGTCTTGAGAGAGGGTAACAACGCCTTCGACTTTGGAGTTGCCCTTGAGGACGGCTACGGCTTTCTTGGCGGCGGTGAGGGGCTTTGGGGCGGTGGCGGAGACGGAAATGGATTGGGGGGTGAATTTGAGGAGGGGGAGGGCGTGGAATGAAGAGAAGAGAGATGGGTTGTTGTTGTTGTGAGGGGTTGGGGAAGAGAATAGTGGGTAAAGAAGAGTATGGGATGGAGTAGTTGAGAAGAGGAGTGCATGAGCTGCCATGGCTGCTATTGCTGCTTGCATTGTCTCTGACCGAGGATAATGCGTGAGAGCTGCTCACCACACTTGGCCCGGTTTGTTGGAACTGAGGAAAAATGTGGGAATTAGGGGAAAGAATGTAGTGCATATTTGTGTACCTATGATTTATAATTAAAAAAATATGACATAATATTATATTTTTTGAGTTATAATTTTAAAATAAATAAATAAATTATAATAGATACTATATGAGGCATAGGTATATATTATATATTGTAGAATTCTCCATAAATTAGATATATATATATATATATTAGTGGATGACACACGTATGTAATTCAAATAATAAAGAAATTAATATCATAATATGTATGTTGTCTAAATAGTAAGGCCATGTTTGTTTGGGCGGACTAGATTAGCATTCCCATGACTAATAGTCCTAGGACTACTAATCCGTTGGATTATGTATCCTATCTTAACTAATAGTCAAGTTTAAAATAATTAATCCGTACTTTAATTGTTTAACCAAACATCGGATTAATAATTTTATTGGATTATTAGTCCAATCCCAAGCTCATGTCCACCCAAACAAACATGGCCTAAGAGTGTTCTTAATGAATCTAAGGTCTTGAGTTCAAATCTTACTCTTACCTTTGAATAATATTTTTTTTTATTTTAGGATAAATTTGTCATGTGACAGAAAGAGAAGCCACCATACTATTAGACACAAAGTGATGTACTCATATATATAATAGTATAGAAGATAGGGCTGGACATTTGTCATGTAATAGAAAGAGACGCCACCATATTATTAGGAAAAATGCTTGGGAGCACTAGAAATGGAGCACTAGAGGGACCACTAATGATGTGGCAGTGGGCCCCGCCTACTTTCTATGCCTTTTTTCTTTTTTTTTCTTTTTTTTTTTTACCAATCTCAATGCATTAGAGCTATTAGTGGTGTATTTTTTAGTGGTCTAAATCATTGTTGTATTATTAGACACAAAGTAATGTACTCATATATATAATAGTATAGAAGATAGGGCTGGACGTAGGGTTATTTGACCCGCACAATCCACCCTACTCGACCCGACCGGCACATGTATGGGCAGTTTCGTTAATATAACAGGGTAGGGTGCAGTTTGGAATATAACAAGTTTTTGGGTTGTGGGCAAGTTGCAGGTTTGAACCGCACCCACCACAACCTGCCTGCACTTAGAACATTTAATTTCATTTTTTTTTTTTAACCTAGACCGTTCGCCTATGATCTATCCTAAATATTTTTGTTTTGACCAAACAAATCAAACCATAATGCATTAGGAAACAATTTTCATAAGCTTTTATCTAAAACATGAATCAGCAAAAATGCTGAGAACCATAATTGATGAAGAGATGCAATATTTTCTTCTTCTTCTTTCTTTCTTTTTTTTTTTTTCATTTTTTCTCTTGGATATATATGTATATATATACATAAGTTTTTTTTTTAGAATATATATATATATATATAAGTTATCTTGGAAAAGAATGATGCCTTAGGCTTGTCAATGAATCAGGTAACAATTTTATGAATCATATAAATTTTGTGTAATATTAAAAAAATGTAGTGTGTTAGTATTTATTTATAACAAAAAAATTTTGGATTGAGTTTCTGTATTGTAGGAATTTTTGGCATCCCCTATAAAATTGTCCATTCATTCGTTTTGAGTGTATCATTGAGAGAACCATACCTGAAATCCCAATCCCGAACTTTTTTTTGTTTGATCTGCATTATGAGTACTGCTTAGCCTAACATTTGCTTCTGTCATTGAACAGAACCGTGATGCATGGAATTGGAATTTTATAATTTTATAAGTTTGAATGATTTGTTTGTGTTAGGAATTGATTTTGTTGTGTTTTTAATTTTATAAGTTTTAATTCATTAATTATTAATGTTGGAGTATTTTAGAAAATTGAGAAAAAATGGCATCCGCGAACATCCACATAAACCGCAAACAGCACTGCGGGCAGTTGCGGGTTGACTTTTTTCCAAACCGCATAGATGTGGGCGGGTCAAAACCGAACTGCAAATCGCACAAATCTAATCCACGACCACCCCTAATAGAAGATATATAAAGGGAAAAACTATAGTACACACTTTTCAAAATGTGTGCATGATATGTACTTTATAATTAAAAAAACGACAATGCTAGGTAGCTCAAATTTTTGTGGCTCAAATGGCTCAAATCTGTCAAAACGACGTCGTTTTGACAGATTTTGAGTGTAAAACGACGTCGTTTTGACAGATTTGAGTCATTTGAGCCACAAAAATTTGAGCTACCAAACATTTTCCTTAAAAAAATGACATAGTTTTAATTTTTTAAGTCATAACTGAAAAAAAGAAAAAAAAAATATCATAACTAAAGATAACATGAGTCATAACTAAAAAAACTCATAATTTATAACTAAAATAATGTCATAACTAAAGAAAAAAAAATGTTATAATTAGGGTTGCATATGATACACTCTTTTTAAATGGGTGTATATTAGAATTTTCCATATAGAAAAACAAAAACAAAACAAGAAATTTATTTATAAATCCCATTTAGAGGACCTATAACTCAGTAAGTTCACAAAAAATTTTGTGTTCCATCTAGTCCCGTATATTTCAACTTATATGCCAATAGGTCCTTTTTCCTATATTAGAAATATTATGTGAACTATTTTACCTTTATAAACATTTATTATAATATATATTACCATATATCTAGGAGAAAGAAAATCATTTATGATATATATAAAATACTCTAGATAAATATAAAAGATTATTATTTTTAATATTTTCTTCATTCACTATTATTTTACTATAAGGTCATGGAAGAATATTTAGAAGAGAGGTTAGTTGTACATATAGACTGATGATAGAGATGATGATAGACTCACAAAGATGATGGTAAATCAGCGATGAACAATCATTTTTTTTTTTTCCCCCATTGTTATACATAAACCATAGTCACCGATATTGTGTAGTTTATTCACCGATATTATGCTAGAGTTGATTATATACAGATTTTTCTAAAAATGTACATTTATATATATGAACTATTTGATAATTTTTTGTATATTATTTGATGATTTGTTATATATTGTTTGTTTTATGCTCGTTGCAATCATTTTTATTGCCATTAAATAATCGAAATAATTGATTTTCATTTTTTTATTTTTATTTCGTGTTTTCACATTTTAGTGTGAATGTTCACATTAGTGTGAGTATAATTTTTTTTTTAAAGCTAGCTATATATTAATTGTAAATTGTGAACATTCACATTATATTTGTAACAACCCAGATTTTTAATTATTCTATAGAATTTATACTAATATTATTTAATCACAGTTCGAAAAATATATAATTTATTATATCTTATTATGCGTAATTTTGCAAAATAATATAATTATTTAAAAGTTTAAGGGTCAAAATATAAATAATAATAATATAGATAATATAAATAATAATAATAATAATAATAGGTGTGGTACTAAAATAAATAAATAATTTTTTTGTTAATATATGATAAAGTGTCATTTAATTAGGAATTATTTTATTTATATAATTATATTAAAATGTTGGGTCAAATGATAATTATCTTAAATATCTATAAAAATAAAAATAAATTTATATAATTATGAATTAAAACTGAGCGAAAGTGATGTCTGAGCCACGTGGACGCCGCGTACTCGTCTCTCCTCCCTATAAAAGGAGGAGACGTTCACGGGAGAGGAGAGGAAAGAAAGGATGAAAAGAAAAGAAAGAACAAAAGAAAGAGAGAAAGGAAAGGAAAGAAAGAGAGGAAAGAAAGGAAATATAATGGAAGTTGAAAAGGTTTTTGATAGTGAAAAGAAGGAGTAAGGTATTAAAGTTAAAGTGAGTTATATTATACCTTGAATTATCAAAATGTATTTTACGTATGTTTTAACTTACCAAAATCTGTTTTATACAAGTTATGTTTTTAATAAAAGTTATGTTTTATAAAAGTTTCAGTTACGTGGTTTATCTTCTCAACCCTATTCCTTAAAATGAAACCTATGGATATGTCTGTTTATATTTTAAAGAATCTTTGGCTATGACCTTATAAACAATTATGTTTTGTAAGTACCACCACGGGAGTCCCACGCCTTGGGGGACTTAAATAACTATTGGCCTCTGTTTGACCACCTTGTGGTCCTCTGTTTGTCATAGATCCATTGACCTCTGTTTTGTGCGGAGCAAAGTGCTACACTGTTGTGGGAGCCACCTCTAGAATCCGTACGAGTCACCTCTTGAATCCGTATCTCTGTTTTGTGCGGAGCAAAGTGCTGTGCGAAGCTAAGTTCTACACTATTGTGGGAGCCACCTCTAGAATCCATACGAGCCCCTCTTGAATCCATACCTCTGTTCTGACTGTCACTTCTGTGACCTTTCTTCTATTCTGTTCTATACCGTGGTTATGACTATTTACTTACATAATCTATGCATTTCAATTCTGTTATTCAAATGATTTCTGCTACTCAAAGGATTTATTTATATAAATGTTTTGGCCTAACTAATTATCCATGGTTATTTCGTGCCCTTATACTCTTAGTATAATATTTCTCACTCTGCCATGTACTTATAGTTTTTTACCAATTTTCAGGAAACATGCAATTCAGAAATAGCTTCTGGAAAGTCTTAAACGCAAGGCTGCGGAATAGACACACACAACACTTTTATAATATTTTTATATATAAATATCAGCCTTTTGGGTCAATAACTTTTGTAATAAAAATAGAAACTCTAATGATTATTTTGGTACCCTTACTTCAATATTACTTCCGCCCACGTTATTTGATTTATTTATGAATTGGCCGTAAGTAACTTCAGTTACTGGCCATCACGATACTTAACCCTTGGGTGCGGGGAGCGGGTCGTGACAAGTGGTATCAGAGCAATGGTCTTTTTAAGAAAAAAAAAAATCATCATTGGAGCATAGGACACACGCACATTTAAGAAGTGGGATAACGGGTAATTAATACAGAATTATTACATTTTGTTCGTCGATTTAATTATATTATAATTTTATATGATTACATATATAATAATTTTTTTTTAGTATGCCTAATTTGTGAAGGATATTAGATATAATTTATA